GGTTTCCCCGGGGTGGGTCCAGGGGAACGCCAGGCTTGTCCCCGCCGGTCCTGGGAGGCAGCGGCCTGGCCTGGGCCCGGGCCTTGGCCGCGTCCCCGCTGCGGCAGTGTAGGAACAGCAACAACGCGGCGGGCTTCGTGGGAGCACTCGGTGAAACCCTCCCCAACGCTCTTTCCCCGCAGGCGAGGAGGACAGCGGCGACCCGGCGGGAGAGAGCCGGTACCTGGCCGCATGCCGGGCCTGCGGCGTGACCCCGGCCTCCGGCCTCCTACGGCGCGCACCGGGCCCCGCGCTCAGCCTGCGGCACCGTGGCCTGGGCCCGCGGGTGAGGGACGGCAGCACCATCACCCTGCGTGAGGGACACCCGCCGCGGGGCTCTGGGGCGTCAGAGGGGCTGCAAACCCCATCAGCCAGCCGGGGCTGTCCCCTCCGTGACCCTGCCGTCACACTAAGCTCTGGTCCCAGAAACCAGTGCAAACACCCCAACCCAGGGACTGCCAGTTTTGTCTTTCCCACTAACGAGAATGTTGTTGCAACTCCTGTGCGGATCAGAGCAGCCCACGTTTTATGTCAAGAACATGTCCAGGACCCTTTTCTGCCTGCCTTGCTGGCGGTTCAGACACCGGTTAGGGGCCAGTGTTATGCCAGGCGAGGTCTGGTGTTCAGCGGGCGGTGGGTATTTGTCAGCAGGTTGTTTTGCAGGGCTCAGGAACGGGAGTCATCTCCTTCCCTGGATGTGGGAGTGGAGGTGGGAGGATGGGATGTGCACGTGTCATTCTTCCCCTTTGGGTTGAGAATTTTTCCTGAGAGTATGTTGTCTCCCCTGGGGTACTCCACATTTTTTAAATTAATATTTTTAGGAAGAAATTATGAGCCTTTGGTACATTCACGCATTGGTTCGTGTCAGGTAGTCCCACCCATGAAAACTGCTTTCAGTGGGCGTGGCATTTTGGAAAAGTGTAGTTTGCACCATGAAAAGGGTGCAGCCTTTCATACTAATTTTTGGTGATAAACCTTTTAAGTTTATTTTATCTGGAATAGTTCTCTGAGGTCCCTTCCAGTTCATTTTCCTGTGTCTGATATCCAAGGCTGGAGAAAATAATTTGATTTTCCAGTATCTGTTGAGTAATCACAAGGTCATTGCCATACTTCTGTTTAATTGTAAATATTTTTGAAATTAAGAATTCCCACTGACAGATCAGGATACTGGCACAATACAGCCTTCTTAAATGTTGAGGTCAGGATTCAGAGCAGCTCTAAGTAAACTAAAGGGGTGCTTACTATGGCTGTACTCCCAGACTGCCAGGTAGAAGTGATGTCCAGAGGGGTACATTGTCAGGCACAGTGGGCCAGAACCTTTTCCTTTTCCACTGCGTCATGAATATTGACAGCAGAAGTATTTTTCATCATTTTTATGGAAGGAGAAATTACTTCTTTAATAAAATAAATGAAATTAAATATCTTAAACTGTATTCAGTGTTGGCTTTTCCAGCCTAGCTTTAAATGATTTTGGAAGGGGGATCTTTTTTGCACGATTCTGCTGATGGCTTTGTGAAATCCCCTTGTGCCCTGCCAGACTAAGGGGAGCTGAAACAGAAACATTCCCAAGAGCTTTGTGAACCCAGTGAAACTGTAAATGACCTGTTCGGGGGGGTTTTTTGCTGCAGGGTGCCAAGGCTTTAGCTCTTTCCTTGATGGTCGATACCTCTGTCCTTACATTAGACCTGAGTGACAACTGGCTGCAAGGAGAAGGGGCGGCTGCAATTGCAGAGATGCTGAAAGAAAACTGCTATGTTTCAGGTTTGTATTCTCCCGTCTGCCGTTCTCTGGTAGATGCATTGCTGTAGAGGAGGAAATTGTGCTGGCTTCTTTGTGGATTTAAGCAGTCCTGCTGTCATAGTGATTCTGTGTTGTGAAAAGGGTACCAGAACTGGGGTGCTGTTTGAACAGTGAGTGTTTAAAACTGTGCTGCTTCATCACCTTTCTCCACCTGTTTTCATAGCATTTACTTTTGTGAAGTTAGGATGCCACTAACTGGAGTCAGCCCCACGCTGTTTTTCCTGTGAAGCTGCTGGAAAGCCAGGAGAAAGAGCAAGTTTCTGCTTTGATTGTGGATCAGAAACATCCACCTGAAACCTACACTATTCAGAGGATGTGGTTAATAATGGTTAAGGCTTTGTAAGTTGAATTTGCACAATTGGCATCTAAGAAAACGGAGCTTCTAAGTAGGGAGAGGTGGAAGAGAAGCCCATCTAGAATGAATGTGCAAGCCTCTGTTCTAGCAGCAGCACATGTCTGCTCTTCCCAGGGACATTTCACATGTCTAATACCTCTGTAGTATTAGACTACAGATACCACAGATACAGGGAGCAGAAGCAGAGCAGTGCTTCCTGAATTTAAGTCTCAGCCAGACAGTGTTGTGTCTAGTGATCATGGTTTTAGGCCCTGCTTTTCCAGGGTCGATATTCCTGCCTTTCATAATTTAAGTAGCAACTCACAGTTATACGCAGACAGGTTATCTGAGTTGTGGGTTACGCGTCGCAGGGTCCTGCGCTGGCTCCGCAGACCTGAGGTGCAGTGAAGGCAGTTCGGTGGGATACAGCTGGTTGTGCCAGCACGTACCCAGAAGCACTAACAAGCCCTGCCAAACCTGAAGTTGTTACGTGCAGAGACAGTCTAGGAGTCCCTGTGCTCTGCTTCTGTGTGAAGAGCACAGAGCAGAGACCCAGGATGGGTCTGCGTGGAGTCCCTGTTGTGTCTGTGTCACATTTTCCAGCACTTGCATTAACCTCCTGTTTCAGTGTCTGAATCTCCAGGCCTCTGCTAGGATACAGCCAGAACTTTGCTATAAGTCATGCTGGTTGCTGCACTGAAGGATATATTTTATCCACAAAGAACAAGGTCAGTTTAGAGAGCTGAGAACACAACTCTCATGTAACGAAGGCAACCCATAGGCTTTGTTGGGAAGTAATCGTGGATGAAGGGCACAGGTTCAGTGCTATGAAACCCCCGTTAACATGGGATTTCCTTATTTTTGTTCTTTAGTGGTTGGATTCACTATTAGAGGTTTAGGGTTCTGTTACTTCTGTGCTAGGAAAATTCATTCTGTATGTAGGTGGGCAGAGAAGTTCATGCTTTCGTATTTGGGTCTCAGTGTCTGTTGTTCCTGTTTTACATTTAGCCTACACATCCCTGCCTACGCTCTTTTTTTCAAGCCATGATGAGGAACCAAGAAACCCGGGATAACTTAGCTGAGTGTAGGCTGTGCCTGGAGTGGGAAGCACAGATGTACAAGGAGCACTTTTGTCTCATGTCCCATATTCATGTGGCAAAATGTGAATGAGCCTATCTTGGGGACAGGTTGTGAATTCAAAAATTAAGTTCTGTTGTTCCTACTAAAATACTGTGTTAGACCAGGTTCACCATTCTTATTTTCCAAGTCTGGCACTACTTCTGCCATTGCAGTGTAGAGGTCAGATGCTGATATGATTTGATGATCTGATAATGTTTTTTCTTTCCCCAGCTGTTGATTTATCTGACAACAAATTAGGTGTTGAAGGAGCTAAGGCCTTTTCTGCTATGCTGCTAGAAAATACTACAATTGTGTCCCTCCAGCTCTCAGGAAATGAATTTGATGATCATGCAGCAAAGTATTTAGCAGATGCCATCACAGCAAACAGCAAAGTGGAAATTCTCGATCTGAGTTACAACATGTTCGATGACAAAGCAGGTAAAGTGCTGTCCTGCACCTTGCACAGAGAGGGGTGCTGTGGCAGTTAGCAATGCAGCTTAATGAGTTGCTTGCCTGCCTCAGACCTTTGAAGAGTAGGGTTGGTTAATATTTTCAGTTTCCTGAAAAGTATTTTTGGCTCTTTGTAGGCCAAACCAGTGTCAAGCTATCATCATTCGTTCATCTTCATTCTCTGCCTTTTCTTATAGCATTGCAAGCTTTACCTCTTCTGTTTCTTTCCCCTGTTCCCAAGTTCTGATGGGCTTCCTTTCACTGAACTGTCATTTGCTTTTTTTCTCGATCACTATTTCAGCTTTCACAGGTGTGTAAAATGCTTAATAAGAGCAGAAAAAAACCAGCAGAATGGAGTTTGCCAGCAGTCCTTCTGTCTAGCTCCCTGTCACCAAGAGGTGATTGCAGGTGCCAAGGGGAGGGTGTGAGAGTGGAACAAGCAGGCAGTTGTGCTTCCCTGATACTTTACCACCCTTGGCAGCTTGTAGTTTGGAGACTTCATTTGCTAATGACTTTGGCTATTTCTTTTCCATCTTCTTGTTGGTCTTGACCTTGTTAATGCATATTGCTTTTCCTTTCGCTCTCGATTTTTAAGCATGCTGTTATTTAATCGTTACATCCTTGCATTCACAGTGCATCCCATGCTGTCTGTCAGATTCATATTCTCCCCTGATTGTTTCTTTCATGAAAAATCCACCATCTTCTCTCCATCCACTGCTTTACAACCCTTAATCTTCACGTATCTCACCTGCTATAACCTCCTCCTTGAAGATCCTTCATGTCTTCAGTGGGCTTCTCTGGCTTACAAGAGAGGAAACAACCATAATCCTCATCTCTTCTGGCCACCAGGAACACACCAGCCATTCACTTTGTTCCTTTCCAGATCCGTTCTGCTTTTTTCCTCATTTTTACTTTTGAAGGCTGCAATGGCTGCTTTCCTCTCCACGCCTATCCTGCTCACCTCCTGCTGCCTTTACAAACAGTTCTCCCCAGTCTTCTGGTCTTCAAGCCTGGTGATGGCTTCCTTTTCTTCTATGCTGGTTGACAACCTCATTTCTTTCCTGCCCCACTGGAAACTCGCAGAACACTTGCTGAGGAAAACTATTCAGATTTTATGATGGCACAGGAGCTCTGGGAGGGATTAAAGAGAGAGCAGACCTGGCTTCTCTGCTAGCCGAACAGAGGAGCAGGCTTCAGCTGGCTCGAGGCCAGAGCTGGGGAAGGGCGAGAGCCTGTGGAAAGCTACCTGGTTGCTTGGTGTCAGCTTTCAGACTCGCATCAGGCTGGAGAATGAGCCTGTGCAGTCAGATCTCCACGCATGATTGGATTTTCTCTCCCTCTTTGCTACATTTGCAACCTGTGGTGAGAGAACACATGCTTTATTGTCCCTCAGTTTCTGGTAAATGAGGCATAAAAGAAAATAGTATGTTGTGGGTTTAATTGCCTGTGTAGAGGTAATACAGACAGTTGCAAAGAAATACCTAAACTAACCCGAACTTCCTTTTAACTCTTAATCCTTTTAACTCTTAAACTGTTTGGCTTCATGTATTTTTTCTTAGGTGAGATTCTTGGAATGGCAATAGCAGAAAACATTGGATTAAAGGAACTTAAAATCAGCTGGAACCATTTCCATAGCCAGGGGGCAGCTGCCTTGGCCAAAGGCTTGGGGGTAGGAAATGTTTTCACTCCTGTTCTTTAAATTCTGAGAACGCACATGAAGCTTTATCTGTTTAAATGAGCGTGAATGCCATGATGTGCTGTTTGCCTTGTGCCCTTGCCTGTCCAACAGCCATCTATGATCTGGGATCATATAGACCTTGGAACTAAGACAGTAAAATCATCCTTTGTCTATTGACATATTGCATGTGTTTTCATTTCTCTATTTCTAGTTCTTTCCCTTTTTAGAGTCAAAATTACTATAGTGAATGTTTTGAATTGTTTCATTTCACTTCTGATTCATAAATTAGTACAGAAATTGTTTTGTATTCCATACACAGTTTTTACTGTACTAAAAGAAAACAGTTTCTCATTAAAATAAGAAACAGTTCTTCCAGCCTCATAGGCTGAAAGGGGCCACTAAAGTAATTTAATTTCACCTCTTGTGCAATGCAAATCACATGTGCCATCCTAGCACTAGTATAGCAAGCCTCCAACTGCTTTTTGGACAGTAGAAAGGACGGTAGTCTGTAGAAAGGATATTTCTCCAAGGTTCTATCAACTGACAGGGAGATTTTCAGTTGTGTGTTTATGTCGCATCACAGGCAAACACATTCCTCAAAGTGCTGGATGTTTCCTACAATGGCTTTGGCAACAGCGGAGCAGCTGCCTTGGGGGAGGCTCTTAAAGCCAACAATGTGCTGGAAGAGCTCAACATTGGGTGAGTCAGACTCTGGTCCTGCTGCACATTTTCTCCAATTTTGCAGTGGTGGGCAAAGCCCACAGCAGCCATTTGGATCGCCTACCTGCCGAGAGCAGTAGGTGCGTAAGGCAGAGGGAGCGTTACAAAATACTAGTGCTGCTGGTCTCGTCCCAAATCCCAGTTCCTCTCCTTAAACTTGGGGTCACTGCCGAGGGGCTGTGGGATGTGTTACGGGATGTGGGGGAAGAGCATTTTTGGGATTGCACAAGGCCTGTTAGGGGATGTTTAGGGGAGGAACCAAGGGCGAGGGAAGGGACCGAGGTGCTCTGGGCAGTAACAAGCATGGGAAAAGAGAGGCACGAGGTGTGAACGTTGACTGTTTCTGTCTGTGTTGATCTGTGTGGCCAGCCGCGTGCATGTGTTGCATACATTTGTGTCTGTGCCTGTTGGAAATACACGGTCAGCCTCACTACTGGGGGCAGGGAGCTATGTCAGCCTCACCTCTATCAGCCTGTGGGATTTGGCAATTTCTCAGCACTTCCAATCTCCCAAATACAGTTGTTTAGTTGGAAGGAGCTGCCCTAAATTCTCTCTGGATATAACATGTTTTCAGTGCTGGGTGAAGGAGGAGGTTGCATATCCTTTGCCTGAGCAATGCAGATATGGAAAACCTGGAGCTCAGTGTCTGAAGCATGCCTTTTATCTGTTTTTAGCAACAACCGTATTTCAGTGGAAGGAGCTCTGCACATTGCAGCTGGCCTGAAAGAAAACAAGACTCTGAAAAGACTTAATGTGAGTAACTTTCCTAGGAAGGTATTGGAGCCTCTTATGCATATTTAAATATCACTGATGCCTGTATGCCCTAGATTGGAACCCCTTAGAACAAATCCACAGCAAAATCAAGGAGCTGCTTGCCCCAGCCTGCCTCCTTCCATGCTCCCCTGGTTGCAGTATGCTCTCATTAAGACAGAGGGCTTGTATCCAGCAGTTTCCTCGGTGAACAGAGATTTCTGTGAGCCTGCCACTGTGTGAACTGCAGCCTGTCATGCCATGTCTTGTAGCATGGATAGCATCCTATTTCTGCAGCAGTAGTGTCCAGCTCAGCATGGCGGGTGGCACTGGGATGGCTATTTGAGAGCCCTTGGCCCACTGTTACTGGCACTTGAAGTAAACCGCGCTGATGTCTCACCCACTGGGGACCACTGGTAGCGTCAAGGATCATACAAAAAAACCCCATGTCACATACCTTCCTGCTGTTTCTTTTCTGACTGCAGATGACCAGAAATCCCATGCAGAGTGAAGGCTGCTGTGGGGTCCTCAAAGCTCTGCAGGCAAATTCTGGCACTGGCATAGAGATCCTGGACTTGCCAGTAAGTGTTACACCAGAAAGAAGAGGGAAGGGAGGGAAGAGGTTGAATTTGTGGTGTGTGAATAACAAAGGGCTGCCAGAGGGATTCTGGCTTTGGCATTGTTTCTGCCCAGTGAGGACTGTATATGGAGGGAATGACCCCCAACTTCACAACATGGACATGTCTGTATGTGCCCAGGCCCCACTTTGTGTGTTTGCAGCAGCACCAAGGTGCATGAATGCACTGAGCTGGGCATTGCTGAGGCTTCGGGCAGCAGCAGGGTGTGGAGGAAGCAGGCTCAGCTCTCAGTGCAAAGGTGCTGAGCACTGGGAGGAATCTGGCCACCTGTGAATTCAGAAATTCCCTGGGAAGCTTGAGCTTTCTGGTCTGATGATGTTTTGGAGCAGTTTTGGAAACATTTCTGTCCCATTTCTAATGAAGCTAAATGGCCTTTACATGGTACAAGAACTTCTACTTGAACATCTACCCCATTTGTGAACAGTGCCAGATCTGAGAAGGCAGCCCGCTGTCACCAGGTGGGTCTCAGCACAAGGCATCTCATATGCCTTACCAAAGAGCACCACTTCTGGAACAGAGGCTCTGTCTCAGGCCAGTAGCCATCTAATGCCCTTAGGATCAATTAGCTAGCAACTACTTCTAATTTCTAAAAAAAGAAGACAGTTGCTCCGTTGTTTATTGAGGAGGAATTTGTCTGGCCTAGCTCATATACAGTGTCAGTGACTATGTCTGAGGTGATTACACAAGATCTGTTCATAGAAGATGGAGGTTTGATCAATGGTGTTTAAGGCAAAATTAACACAGCAAAGTGTAGAGATCTGCTTTAGGTTGGGGAGACTTGCACCTCAGCTCTGTGTTGACTGTTATCACTGTGGACTACGTAGGGAGACTGTGATGGTGAGCTCAGAGGAAACAGTTGCCTTGCAGTCACCAGCATTTAATCAGGCAGATCTTGTTCTTTGTGACCCTTTGCTACAAACAATCCAGACATCTGCCTTAAAGAGAGAGCTGATGATCCCTGAAATGTGGAGCCTTCCTGTGTCATTCAGTGCCTGTCCCTTGTACCTCCTCCTTTCCAGCTGTTTTAACTTCTCTTCCTGTAGACCATTCTTCTGGGCTTACTATCCATCCTGGCATTGTCCTGACTTTCTCTCCAGATCTTTGTTTGTTTGTTTGCTTATTTTTGACAGGCTGTTTTCCACCTTTATCCACTTTAGCTCACTGTCTTTTGGCAGTGCAGTGAGGAGCTTGCATGAAAACCATATCTTCCTTTGATTTCTGTGCTGCTTCACCATCACTTTATCTCTTTTGCTTCTTGCCCTGGGAGCAGGATGCCACTGCTTGTTGAATCGCATACCTGCCTGTGACGTGGTCGTGTGGGCTAACAGCCCCAGATCTCACAATCTGGTGTCAGAATTTTGTGTTTGGTTTGAGAAAGCACAGAATATGTTGCAATATCTATTTTCTGAGGGATGGTAAATCATACCATATGCTTACTTACCTGTAGTGATTTTGCCCTCTAGGACATCCCTGTGAACAAAGAGCTTGCAGAGTTGTGTGATGCTGTGAAAATACTTTTCCCAAATCTTCTTCTCAGACATGGTGGAAACATGAAGTTGCAGAGGAAAAGTCCGTTGAAGGTTGAGCTTCGGACTCCGCCCAAAGCGGTGGGTAATTCCCAGAATGCAGTGTCTTAACATGAGTCTCTTCGGGGCTGCTTCTTCAGCACCTCTGCCTAACGCCCCAGTTCCACTCATCAAGCCTGTGACACAAGGATGTGCCAGGGCAGTGCTAAGGCAGGATCTGTGCAAATATTGGCTACTTCATCATTGCTGACACTTGGAAGATATTCTGTCTTTTCGCTTTAAGATTTCTGCTACGACCTGCTCTGAGTCTCTTCCAGCACATGCAAGAGCATCCCCATGGATAAGAGTCGAGGGGCTCCTTTTTAATCATCATCTTTGTGTGTAGGGACATTTGTCTGGTGGAACATCATGTGTTGTAGCTGCTGCCGATGCTTGGATCCATAGCCCACTGTAGTGGGGTCTGTGCAGCCCGAGAGCGTGCTTATTATGTCGGAAGCAAAGTCCTATCCAGAGGTGTGCTGTGAACAAATGCTTTCTGCCTTAGGCTTGTTTCTCTGTTACACAGCTGGGATTGCCTTTGCTGAATTGGCTGTCAGATGCACTGGTGACTCATTTTCAGCTGCTTCCTACCGCAGTTCCTTAGCCTCATGTGGAGCCCATGTTGTGCAGGGTAGAGCCCCTGTCCTGGGTCATGACTGGCGTTCTTATTGCCTGGATGCATGCTCTGGCTTTTATCAGTGTTACATAGGATGGATGCTACAAGCTGCCTGGAAATAGGATTGGCACTCACTGGTAGTTCAGCAATGACAACAGCACATGGGGTACAACTCTTTTCCCCTCCCTGGGATGTTTTCTGTGATCCCAGTGGATCCTCCCTACACTCTCTGGGACACCTGGGCACTGTGGTTCACGGAGGGGGGGAATTGTGAGCTCCTTGAGGAGCAGTGGGCAAGGGACAGGAATCATGGCTATGCCCTGAGCAGCCTGGCTTCACTCTCCCTCTCCTGGTCTCTGTGAAGAAGCGGTTCCTTGCAGCAGTTTCTCGCAGTTCAGGAGAGGGGCCGAGGATGGTCACACAAACAGCTCTGGATGTCTGGCTTGGGCTGGAGGCACAGGCAGCTCTGCCCTGCAGTCAGAGGGCAGCAAACCCCAGCGGTGTTGCAGTGCTGCCTTAGCCTAGTTGTGGCTATACACAAATAATTTCCTTTCATTCCCTGAAGGTTGGCAGACCTTGTTGATAAAGTGCTTGCAACAATCTTGGCTTTATCTGTGGCTCCAGCTAGGCAAGCCTGGTCTGTCCCCAGGCACGTCAGTGTGCGCTGGTTTTGATTTCCTCTTCCACTGACACACCAGCTGACGAGGTCTGGGGACATCCAGGCAGTGCTCTCCTGTAAGGCAGTGGTGACACCTCTCTGAGACGGCAGCTTGTGAAGGCAGGGGCCAAAATTCAAGACGGCTTCTGCCAGTCTCCTTCCAGAGTGGCTGGCTGGTGCCCTGTGTTTTGCCTTATGCTTTTTTCCCTAGAACAGAAGCATTATAATCCCCTTTGCTCACTTTTGTATTTCATTTACCTAATAAATGTGCCTACCAGTGAAATTGCACTTAGTGTTATTTCGTAGCAGAAGATGAGGTTTAGCCTCTTTATTTGAAAATAACTCTATGCAGTTACGATTTACCTAATGGAGTCTGTCCTATAAATGTGTAAATTATTTTACAGTTACGTATCTAATAAATAATGTCTGTGCCTTGGAGTCACACCTGTCTGTTCACACCATTTGGAGAGGTCTCTTTCATGTTGTAAGATCTGTAAATATGGGTTGTTTCTAGAAATTTCAGAACCATCCTGACACCTCCTCGATCTCTAGATGAAAAATTTGTGTATCAAACACAGAAGCTGTTATGGGACTTGATTTAAATCAATGTAAGTACTTATATTTTAAAATATTTAGTCACCCTTTATTGTTTCTGTTACATCCTTTGCCCCTAGCCCTTCCTATGATCTCCAAAGAAGAGATGCAAGTTAAAATCCTATTAAAAATCAGGTGGGTAAAGAATTCTTACACACCAAGTCTGTCCTGATTCACCAGCTGGTGTAACTAGAGAAGATCCACTTGCCCCTGCCTTGACACATATAGATTCATTAGTCACTGAAGTCAGAGCTGGGTGTTTTTTTCTTGTGAGAATTAAGCTCAATAAATCTATCAACATACCATTTAGGAACCTAAAAATACCAGGTGAGCCAGCAGTGTGTTACGGGGTAATATAACTGGGACATATATGTTGAACATACATTTGTCCTGTGGGTTTGATGAGAGCAGGAGGTGGCTGTAGAAAACTGAGCACTGGCCTGCTCCATGTGCAGGCAGGATTGCGCAGGCAGGATTGCGCAGGCAGGATTTGCCCTCCTGGAGGGCTGCAGGGAGAAGGGGAGAACAGGCAGGTGGAGCTAGCCTGCGGGAGGTTTTGTGTGCGAAGTTGTAGGAATTTGCTGTGCTTTGGCAGCTGCTACAAAAGGTTATGAGGAATTAACATGTGGAGAGTTACACTGAGAGTTATATTCCCGTTACACTGAAATATCAGTTATTCCCAATTTACCTGGCAATCTTCCCAGCTGGTATCGCTGTTTCTCTTTCCTCCAAACTCAGTTGTGTTTTCTTTCAGGTTAGGAACTAATCTTGGAATAACTCACCAGAAGATTTGCTGAGTCCCTGTTCACGATGTCATTTCCAGTACTGAGCCGTTTTTTTTTGTCTGAGTGTTATTTCAATATTGTTCCTTTTTGGTTTCTTTACAAAACTGCCAGGTAGCAGTTGGACGCCTTGTGGAAGGTACTACAGTACAACAGCACTGCTGCCTCGTTCCAAGCTCCTGACCGCTCCAAAGCACAGAGGTTACACAAATCCATATTAATTGCCACTAATTATATTTTTTCCTTAATTCTTGAGCAGCTCTCATTTTGATCAGTGTCCTTTTGAGGCCTTGAATTTCCTTGCACCCCTTCACCTTTTTGAAGTATCAGCCAGCTTGTTTTCCTGCAGTGCTCTGGGACTTCTCCAGCTGCCTAGCTGTTTCTGGAAAATGAGCATTAATGCTCCAGGGAAGCTCACTGCCTAATTCCACGTGAAACTCTTCTGCTGTAAGTTACATAGGTGACCACAAAAGGCTTAACTCTAGTAGCTACTAATAAGCATTATTTGGGGGCAGGACTGGGGCAGAGGAGCCTGCAACATGGCTCCTAGCTTTCCCCCCATGCAGAAGAGAAGTTTTTCATGAACACTTTCATCTCCTTTACAATATTGAGTGTGCTGCCATGCACAAAGGTGCCTTGGCTTTTGTCCCAGCAAGGACTGGGGCCCATGGTGTTTGATGCGGCCCTAAAGCACTTCCAGTCTAGTGAGGGAAGCCCAGGCAGGTGAGATCTTGAGAAACCAGCTATCCTTGCTCCAGAGGAGGAGCAGCTCACTCTCAACAGCATCTGATGGACGTTTTGTAACCTCTCAGGCAAAGCTGTCATCGCCAAGAGGAAGTGTTTCTAGTCTCTTGCCTAAATCTCCCTCATGACCGTTTAAGTCTGTTGCTTCTCGCCTTGTCTCCTGTGCACATGGTGAAGATTTATTCTCCTTGCTTTTGTGGCTGCGTGGTTGGAGACTGGCCCATCTGCTGTCGGAAAGAGGCCTCTGCTGCTGGGATGGGACTGCATCGTTCATGCATACGCTTAGACAACTCGTTCGAAAATATCTGCACTGCATGGCGAGACAGGGAAGAGCTGTGGCCCAAAGCAGTCTGGTTGCAGGGACTGCTGAGACACAGGCTGCTGAAATGCTTCTGAAACACGAGCACGAGCGCTCCTGTAATGCTTTGGGTACCCCTGTGCTTAGCACCCTGGCTGCTGGCCTGACTGCCGGCACTTTGTGGAGGGACGAGGGGACAACAGGACTCAGGGTAGGTGCCATCTTTTAATGCCCTGCCGTTCTCCAGCCGGCGGAAGGAGCAGATACACCGCTGCTGGTGTCTCAGGGATGAAGCACGGTGCGTACCTCATCCTCTAGCTGTATCTGCAGGAGGAGGAGGGGAGGATGGCAGGGGATAATGAGAGGATTACTTACAGCCAGCCTTAAATGAGCCCTGCAGCTTGTCTGTGCTGCTTTCAGAGCTGGGGTGGGGAGGAGGAGGAATAATTTAGAAACACAAGGCTGGGAAGAGATTTAATTAGGACATGGAGCTGCTTTCTGCTGGGTGCCAGCCCACCACCCTCTTCCAGTGCTCAGGGCTCCCCTTTTCCTCCCTCAAGCATGGACAGGCCTCAAGTATGCAACTGGGTCAGTGCCTGCTTATTTCAGCATAGCATCTGTGATTAAACTGTCTCTGAAACATTGTTGGGATACACCTGCAACTCCTGCCCCCCTGAGCTTCACTGTGCAAGAGCCTGGTGATCCCTGCAGGAGCTCCCACAGCTCGTGTCACTGGGGCTGCGTGGGAAACAGCAGTGAGCCTGTTTCCTGAAGCCTCCACGATCATCATCAGCTCAGTCCCGTTTGGTCATCTCTGGAGCTGGGCTAGGTACACCGCCTCCCCAAGCTGCATTTCAGGGCTGGGGGAGGAGGGACGCAGGCTGATTCAGTGTCTCTACCGTTTAAAAGATGGTGGGTGGCATCCCTAGCATCAATTTT